TGACGGTTGAGAGGCGGGACCAAAGAGCCAGAGCTCAACCCCCGCAAACACAACTAGGTGAGTACAACTAGGTGAGTACACACACACACACACACACACACACACACACACACACACACACACACACACACACACACACACACACACACACACACACACACACACACACACACTATATATATATATATATATATATATATATATATATATATATATATATATATATATATATATATATATATATATATATATATATATATATATGCGGAAAATCCACAGAGAAATAAGAAATGAGGTGAACGTTTCGGCTTGTTAAAGCCTTTGTCAACACCAGACTAGGGTCAGTCTGGTGTTGACAAAGGCTTTAACAAGCCGAAACGTTCACCTCATTTCTTATTTCTCTGTGGATTTTCCGCATAAAATGATCAGTTTTGTGATCGTCAATTGCATATATATATATATATATATATATATATATATATATATATATATATATATATATATATATATATATATATATATATATATATAATAAAAGGGAAGGGAGTACCACCTCTGGCTGGAAGAAGGGGGATCCATAGCCTCGGATGAAACCACACATAACGCATTGGAGGGAATGTAGGTCCCCTCCAATACAGTTTCTGTGTGCTTTTCTCCTACCACCCCCTTCCTTATATATATATATATATATATATATATATATATATATATATATATATATATATATGTCGTACCTAGTAGCCAGAACGCACTTGTCAGCCTACTATGCGAGGCCCGATTTGCCTAATAAGCCAAGTTTTCTTGAATTAATATATTTTTTCTATTTTTTTTCTTATGAAATGATAAAGCTACCCTTTTCATTACTTATGAGGTCAATTTTTTTTAATTGGAGTTAAAATTAACGTAGATATATGACCGAACCTAACCAACCCTACCTAACCTAACCTAACCTATCTTTATTGGTTAGGTTAGGTTAGGTTGCCGAAAAAGTTAGGTTAGGTTAGGTTAGATAGGTTAGGTAGTCGAAAAATAATTAAGTCATGAAAACTTGGCTTATTAGGCAAATCGGGCCTTGCATAGTAGGCAGAGAAGTGCGTTCTGGCTATTAGGTACGACATATATATATATATATATATATATATATATATATATATATATATATATATATAACTGTGTACTGGGCACCTTATCCACTCGACCTGTACACCAGTTCCATAGTGCTCCTGGCAGTATGGGTTCGAGTCACTTCTGGGGTGTGAAGTGACTTATATATATATATATATATATATATATATATATATATATATATATATATATATATATATATATATATATATATATATATATATATATATATATATATATATATATATATATATATATATATATATATATATATATATATATATATATATATATATATATATATATATATATATATATATATATATATATATATATAACTAACTGAAAACTCACACCCCAGAAGTGACTCGAACCCATACTCCCAGGAGCAACGCAACTGGTATGTACAAGACGCCTTAATCCACTTGACCATCACGACCGGACATAATGGTCAAGTGGATTAAGGCGTCCTGTACATACGCATATATATATATATATATATATATATATATATATATATATATATATATATATATATATATGTCGTACCTAGTAGCCAGAACGCACTTCTCAGCCTACTATTCAAGGCCCGATTTGCCTAATAAGTCAAGTTTTCATGAATTAATGTTTTTTCGTCTACCTAACCTACCTAACCTAACCTAACCTAGCTTTTTTTGGCTACCTAACCTAACCTTACCTATAAATATAGGTTAGGTTAGGTTAGGTAGGGTTGGTTAGGTTCGGTCATATATCTACGTTAATTTTAACTCCAATAAAAAAAATTGACCTCATACATAGAGAAAAGGGTTGTTTTATCATTTCATAACAAAAAAATTAAAGAAAATATATTAATTCAGGAAAACTTGGCTTATTAGGCAAATCGGGCCTTGAATAGTAGGCTGAAAAGTGAGTTCTGGCTACTAGGTACGACATATATATATATATATATATATGTATATATATATATATATATATATATATGTCGTACCTAGTAGCCAGAACGCACTTCTCTGCCTACTTTGCAAGGCCCGATTTGCCTAATAAGCAAAGTTTTCATGAATTAATTGTTTTTCGACTACCTAACCTACCTAACCTAACCTAACCTAACTTTTTCAGCTACCTAACCTAACCTAACCTATAAAGATAGGTTAGGTTAGGTTAGGTAGGGTTGGTTAGGTTCGGTCATATATCTACGTTAATTTTAACTTCAATAACAAAAAATTGACCTTATACATTATGAAATGGGTAGCTTTATCATTTCATAAGAAAAAAATTAGAGAAAATATAATAATTCAGGAAAACTTGGCTTATTAGGCAAATCTGGCCTTGCATAGTAGGCAGAGAAGTGTGTTCTGGCTACTAGGTACGACATATATATATATATATACATATACATATGTCGTACCTAGTAGCCAGAACGCACTTCTCTGCCTAATATGCAAGGCCCGATTTGCCTAATAAGGCAAGTTTTCATGAATTAATTGTTTTTCAACTACCTAACCTACCTAACCCTAACCTAACCTACCTTTTCCGGCTACCTAACCCAACCTAACCTATAAAGATAGGTTAGGTTAGGTTAGGTAGGGTTGGTTAGGTTCGGTCATATATCTACGTTAATTTTAACTCCAATAAAAAAAATTGACCTCATACATAATGAAATGGGTAGCTTTATCATTTCATAAGAAAAAAATTAGAGAAAATATATTAATTCAGTAAAACTTGGCTTATTAGGCAAATCGGTCCTTACATAGTAGGCTGAGAAGTGCGTTCTGGCTACTAGGTACGACATATATATATATATATATATATATATATATATATATATATATATATATATATATATATATATATATATATATATATATATATATATTTATATATATATATATATATATATATATATATATACACTAGCAATACCCGGCCACGCGTTGCTGTGGCTGTGAGCCTTTCCTGTCCCTTTGTCCTCCCCACCAATCTCCATTCCCCCATCCTTTCGTCCCCCACCATCCCAAACTCCCCTGTCCCCTCGCCCTTCCCCACCATTACCCCCACCCTTGTCCCCTCGTTCTCCCCACCATCTCTGACTTCCGTCCTCTCATCATCCCCACCATTCCCCACTCCCTCGTCTGATGCCTTCCCAATTGGTCTGGTGTTCCCATCAGAAAATTGGGAACATTAAGTGATCTGATGTTCCCATCACTGAAATATAAGAAAAACAGTTTAAAAAATGAAATGAAAATATGAAAAAATACAAAAATAAACTATACTCACGAAATGAACGGTATGGTAAACAACACAGCTCAATTAAAACGCAATTCACACAAAATAATTAATTCAAAATTCAAATAAATCAAAATCTATGAAAATTTAATATATCAATGCAATCAGAAACCTTGAAATGGAATTGTAACATATTTAGTATCGCATGTGTGTTCTTACATGCAACAGATGGCGCTGTTTTTCAAGAAAAGCATATTTTTACCTGTCACAGGTGTGGCATCTATACTTATACTTACGAAATGAACGGCATGGTAAACAACACAGCTGAATTCCAACACAATGTCACGCAAAATAATTCAATAAAATATGAAATAAATCGAAATCTATGAAAATAAAATTTATCAATCTAATCGGACACATTGAAATGGAATTGGTGACATATTTAGTATAGCGTTGGTGTTGCTATTATGTGCAACAGATGCGCTGTTTTTCAAAAATGCATGTTTTTATTTATTTATTTATTTATTTATTTATTTATTTATTTATTTATTTATAAACAAGAAGGTACATTGGGTTTATGAGAAGACACAAGCGTTCACAATCCAGCGGATCGAGGAATCAACTTAATCAAACCTAGCTCAACCTAACCTAACCCAAACTAACCTAATCTAATACTAGTCAAAACCAGATAAGCTAAACTAGCCCACTAGAGCCTAACCAAGCCTAGTAAAGTTTAACATAACAATATATACGGTTTTAACCAACAGAAAACGAGCTTCGACGAATTGTCATGTGTCCAAAACGACCAAACGACGGTGGATGTACTTTGATTTTACATGAGGGCCACTTATACTAGTTGCCGCGACGAGGATAGGAAGCTGGCGGCTTGTCAAAGGTCACCCCATTAGCCCTGTTGATCTTTTCTAACTGTATTTTAAAACCCAGCAGAGTTTTGGCGTTTATGGCTTCGGCGGGAAGGCGATTTCACGGGTTTGAAAACCCTAATGGTGAAAACGGATCTCCTGCTTTCTGTCCTATATTGTGGCTTGTTGAGCTTGAACCCGTTGCTCCTCGTTCGTGTTACATCTGATCTTTTAAAGAAAGTGTCCGGATCGACATTGTCCAAACCGTTCAGTATTTTAAAAGTATCGATAGATCCGCCCCCGTCATGCCTGGCTAGCAGTGTTGTTAGCCCTGTGGCCCTCAACCGTTCCTGACAAGAGAGAGATGACTATGGGATGATTTTTGTTGCCCGGTGTTGCACCTTCTCCAGAGCATCTGTCTTTCTGGAGATGAAGTCTCCATATCTGGATGCAATAATCCAAGTGGAGGCGCACCAGAAACTTTTACAATTGAACGACTACTTTCTTTTCCTTGAAGGTAAAGGTACGCTTGATTATTCCCAGGGTTTGGTTCGATTTTTTACTGCTGCTGCTCTCACTTGTGCAACTTTTAGTGAATGATGGATACTGACTCCAAGGTCACTTTTCTTCATCAGTCTGTTGTAAGGTAGTGCTGTCAATTTGGCAGTTGTGACGAAGATTGTTGTAAGGTAGTGCTGTCAATATGGCAGTTGTGACGAAGATTGTTGTAAGGTAGTGCTGTCAATTTGGCAGTTGTGACGAAGATTGTTGTAAGGTAGTGCTGTCAATATGGCAGTTGTGACGAAGATTGTTGTGCCCCACATGCAGCAAGGTCATGCATTTATCGTCATTAAAAAGCATTTGCCATTCATCTGGTCATTTGTGGAGTTCATGGAGATCTCTTTGTAAGGTCTTATGTACAGGCCTTCTGGCACACAGACATCTAACATATAGTTATCCTAGCATACAGGAATCCTAGCCAACAGGCATCAATGAAATATGTATCCTAGCATACAGGCATCTATGATACATGTATTCTAGCATACAAACATCCTAAGATACGGGCATCCTTGCAAACAGGCATCCTTGCATACAGGCATCCTTGCATACAGGTGATAAAACACCTAGGATACGGGCATCTTAGCATACAGGCATCATAGCATACAGGCATCCTTGCATATAGACATCCTAGCATACAGGCATCCTAGCATACTAAAGGAAGGAGCAGAAGCACTGTGCCTGCCACTCTCCCTGTTGTAAAACAAATCACTGGCAACAGGGGAACTGCCAGAAATTTGGAAGGCGGCAAACGTAGTCCCGATGTACAAGAAAGGGGATAGACAGGAGGCACTCAACTACAGGCCAGTGTCCGTAACTAGCATACCATGCAAGCTGATGGAGAAAATTGTGCGAAAAAAGTTAGTCGAACATCTGGAGCGAAGGAACTTTGTGTCACAACACCAACATGGTTTCAAGGATGGCAAGTCCTGCCTCACCGGGTTAATTGAATTTTACGATCAGGCAACAATAATCAGACAATAAAGAGAAGGGTGGGCAGACTGCATATTTTTGGATTGTCAGAAAACCTTTGACACAGTGCCACACCAGAGACTTGTGCAAAAGCTGGAGATGCAGGCAGGAGTGAAAGGGAAGGTACTCCGTTGGATAAGGGAGTACCTAAGTAACAGAAGGCAGCGAGTCACTGTGAGGGGTGAGGCCTCAGATTGACGAGACGTTTCCAGCAGAGTCTCGCAGGGTTCAGTCCTTGGACCCATACTGTTTCTTATATATGTAAATGATCTCCCAGATGGTATAGATGGTCTCATTGTTTGCTGATGATGCAAAAATTATGAGGAGGATTAAGACGGAGGAAGATAGTATGAGACTACAAGATGACCTAGACAGAATCCATGAATGGTCCAACAAATGGCTACTAAAGTTTAACCCGAGTAAATGTAAGGTAATGAAACTAGGCAGTGGAAACAGGAGGTCAGATACAGGATACAGAATGGGAGATGAAGTCGTTCATGAAACAGACAGAGAGAAAGATCTAGGAGTTGATATCACACCAAACCTGTCTCCTGAAGCCCACATCAAAAGAATAACATCTGCGGCGTATGCGAGGCTGGCTAACATCAGAACAGACTTCAGGAATCTGTGTAAGGAATGATTCAGAATCTTGTATACCACAGATGTAAGACCAATCCTGGAGTATGCGGCCCCAGCATGGAGCCCGTACCTTGTCAAGCACAAGGCGAAGCTTGAAAAATTTCAGATATATGCCACTAGGCTAGTCCAAGAACTAAGAGGCATGAGTTACGAAGAAAGGCTGCGAGAAATGTACCTCACGAAACTAGAAGACAGAAGAGTAAGGGGAGACATGATCCCTCAAAATACAAAATTCCCACGGGAATCGACCGGGTAAACAAGGATAAACTATTCAACACTGGTGGGACGCGAACAAGGGGACACAGGTGGAAACTGAGTACCCACATGAGCCACAGAGACGTCAGAAAGAACTTTTTCAGTGTCAGAGTAGTTAACAGATGGAATGCATTAGGCAGTGATGTGGTGGAGGCTGACTCCATACACAGTTTCAAATGTAGATCTGATAGAGCCCAGTAGGCTCAAGAACCTGTACACCAGTTGATTGACAGTTGAGAGGCGGGACCAAAGAGCCAAAGCTCAACCCCCGCAAGCACAATTAGGTGAGTACAACTAGGTGAGTACAGGCATCCTAGCATACAGGCATCTAGAACGCTGACACACAGCAAGAGAACGCTGTCACAGCAAGAGAACGCTGACACACAGCAAGAGAACGCTGACACACAGCAAGAGAACGCTGACACACAGCAAGAGAACGCTGACACACAGCAAGAGAACGCTGTCACACAGCAAGAGAACGCTGACACACAGCAAGAGAACGCTGACATACAGCAAGAGAACGCTGACACACAGCAAGAGAACGCTGTCACAGCAAGAGAACGCTGACACACAGCAAGAGAACGCTGACACACAGCAAGAGAACGCTGTCACAGCAAGAGAACGCTGACACACAGCAAGAGAACGCTGACACACAGCAAGAGAACGCTGTCACAGCAAGAGAACGCTGACACACAGCAAGAGAACGCTGACATACAGCAAGAGAACGCTGTCACAGCAAGAGAACGCTGACACACAGCAAGAGAACGCTGACACACAGCAAGAGAACGCTGTCACAGCAAGAGAACGCTGACACACAGCAAGAGAACGCTGACACACAGCAAGAGAACGCTGTCACAGCAAGAGAACGCTGACACACAGCAAGAGAACGCTGTCACAGCAAGAGAACGCTGTCACAGCAAGAGAACGCTGACATACAGCAAGAGAACGCTGTCACAGCAAGAGAACGCTGTCACAGCAAGAGAACGCTGACATACAGCAAGAGAACGCTGTCACAGCAAGAGAACGCTGACACACAGCAAGAGAACGCTGACACAGCAAGAGAACGCTGACACACAGCAAGAGAACGCTGACATACAGCAAGAGAACGCTGTCACAGCAAGAGAACGCTGTCACAGCAAGAGAACGCTGTCACAGCAAGAGAACGCTGACACACAGCAAGAGAACGCTGTCACAGCAAGAGAACGCTGTCACACAGCAAGAGAACGCTGACACACAGCAAGAGAACGCTGTCACACAGCAAGAGAACGCTGTCACACAGCAAGAGAACGCTGTCACACAGCAAGAGAACGCTGTCACACAGCAAGAGAACGCTGACACACAGCAAGAGAACGCTGTCACAGCAAGAGAACGCTGTCACACAGCAAGAGAACGCTGTCACACAGCAAGAGAACGCTGCCACACAGCAAGAGAACGCTGACATACCGCAAGAGAACGCTGACACACAGCATGAGAACGCTGACACACAGCAGGAGAACGCTGACATACCGCAAGAGAACGCTGTCATACAGCAAGAGAACGCTGACACACAGCAAGAGAACGCTGACATACAGCAAGAGAACGCTGTCACACAGCAAGAGAACGCTGACATACAGCAAGAGAACGCTGACATACAGCAAGAGAACGCTGTCACACAGCAAGAGAACGCTGACATACAGCAAGAGAACGCTGACATACAGCAAGAGAACGCTGACATACAGCAAGAGAACGCTGACATACAGCAAGAGAACGCTGACATACAGCAAGAGAACGCTGACATACAGCAAGAGAACGCTGTCACACAGCAAGAGAACGCTGACATACAGCAAGAGAACGCTGACACACAGCAAGAGAACGCTGACACACAGCAAGAGAACGCTGTCACACAGCAAGAGAACGCTGACATACAGCAAGAGAACGCTGTCACACAGCAAGAGAACGCTGACATAAAGCAAGAGAACGCTGTCACAGCAAGAGAACGCTGACATAAAGCAAGAGAACGCTGTCACAGCAAGAGAACGCTGACATACAGCAAGAGAACGCTGACACAGCAAGAGAACGCTGACATAAAGCAAGAGAACGCTATCACAGCAAGAGAACGCTGACATAAAGCAAGAGAACGCTGTCACAGCAAGAGAACGCTGACATAAAGCAAGAGAACGCTATCACAGCAAGAGAACGCTTTTATCAACGGATTGAACGTTGGAATATCTGAATAGAACTTTTTAATATTTGAAAAGAACACAGCCATAGAGGAAGTGAACGCTAGAACTCGCAAGAAAAACGTTAACATCACGCTTCATAAATCTGACCCATAAGGAAAGAGCGCAACATTATGAGAAATGAACGCATGAAACAGAACCCCAGCATATCGGAAGAGAAAGCTGGCACAGGCAAAAAGAACGCAGGTATATGAGATATGAACGCCAGCATACAGGAAATAAACGTCGGTATTCCCGAAATTTTGAGTTACTGAGACAGCGAGGCCGTAATTAAGTGCCACTGGAACTAAAAATGCTTCTGGGATCCGCATTTCATAGGTGGCCGCTATACGCGACTGGTCGCATTATGTAAATTAATTTAAATTTTGAGAAACGGAATTTCAGTCGCCGAAATATTGTAGGCGCTCTGATTATGCAGGGAGTCGTTTTATCAAGGTCGCATTATGCAGGTGGTCGCGTTATGGTGGTGGCCGCTATATGCTGGTGGTCGCATTATTCAGGTGGCCTCAATATGCTGGTGGTCGCGTTATGCAGGTGTTCGCTTTATGCAGATGGCCGCAATATGCACGTGATTGCATTATGAGAGTGGTCTCATTACACAGGTGGTCGCAATATGCAGCCGGTCGCATTATGCAGGTGGTCTGCATACACAAGTGGTCAGACTGGCACTTTATAGAAAATAGTAAAGTCAATATTCGTACTGTATTCATATACTTATACAGTATCATTGTATTTATTTTAGTTACCTTCTGTATGCTTGAGCCTTATACACATGGGTAATGTATGATGCTTGAGCCTTATACACATGGGTAATGTATGATGCTTGAGCCTTATACACATGGGTAATGTATGATGCTTGAGCCTTATACACATGGGTAATGTCTGATGCTTGAGCCTTATACACATGGGTAATGTCTGATGCTTGAGCCTTATACACATGGGTAATGTATGATGCTTGAGCCTTATACACATGGGTAATGTCTGATGCTTGAGCCTTATACACATGGGTAATGTATGATGCTTGAGCCTTATACACATGGGTAATGTATGATGCTTGAGCCTTATACACATGGGTAATGTATGATGCTTGAGCCTTATACACATGGGTAATGTATGATGCTTGAGCCTTATACACATGGGTAATGTATGATGCTTGAGCCTTATACACATGGGTAATGTATGATGCTTGAGCCTTATACACATGGGTAATGTATGATGCTTGAGCCTTATACACATGGGTAATGTATGATGCTTGAGCCTTATACACATGGGTAATGTATGATGCTTGAGCCTTATACACATGGGTAATGTATGATGCTTGAGCCTTATACACATGGGTAATGTATGATGCTTGAGCCTTATACACATGGGTAATGTATGATGCTTGAGCCTTATACACATGGGTAATGTATGATGCTTGAGCCTTATACACATGGGTAATGTATGATGCTTGAGCCTTATACACATGGGTAATGTATGATGCTTGAGCCTTATACACATGGGTAATGTATGATGCTTGAGCCTTATACACATGGGTAATGTATGATGCTTGAGCCTTATACACATGGGTAATGTATGATGCTTGAGCCTTATACACATGGGTAATGTATGATGCTTGAGCCTTATATACATGGGTAATGTATGATGCTTGAGCCTTATACACATGGGTAATGTATGATGCTTGAGCCTTATACACATGGGTAATGTATGATGCTTGAGCCTTATACACATGGGTAATGTATGATGCTTGAGCCTTATACACATGGGTAATGTATGATGCTTGAGCCTTATACACATGGGTAATGTATGATGCTTGAGCCTTATACACATGGGTAATGTATGATGCTTGAGCCTTATACACATGGGTAATGTGTGAATGTATTGGTGGTTGTATCTAGGGCAGATCATCAAGGATATTTCCATCACTAAGAATATTATTAACACTATTATCAACAACTAACACCATCACCAACAACAATATTAAAACCATCACCAACAATATTAACACCATCACCACCAATATTAACACCATCACCAACAATAATATTAACACCATCACCACCAATATTAACACCATCACCAACAATAATATTAACACCATCACCAACAATATTAACACCATCACCAACAATAATATTAACACCATCACCAACAATATTAACACCATCACCAACAATATTAACACCATCACCAACAACAATATTAACATACCATCACTAACAATAATATTAACACCATCACCAACAATATTAACACCATCACCAACAATAATATTAACACCATCACCAACAATAATATTAACACCATCACCACCAATAATATTAACACCATCACCAACAACAATATTAACACCATCACCAGTAATAATAATAATAATAATAATAATAATAATAATAATAATAATAATAACAATAATAATAATAATAATAATAATAATAATAACAATAATAATAATAATAATAATAATAATAATAATAATAATAATAATAATAATAATAATAATAATAATAATAATAATAATAATAATAATAATAATAATAATAATAATAATAATAATAAATAATAATAATAATAATAACAATAATAATAATAATAATAATAATAACAATAAATAATAATAATAATAATAATAATAATAATAATAATAATAATAATAATAATAATAATAATAATAACAATAATAATAATAACAATAATAATAATAACAATAATAATAATAATAATAATAATAATAATAATAATAATAATAATAAATAATAATAATAATAATAATAATAATAATAATAATAATAATAATAATAATAATAATAATAATAATAATAATAATAATAATAATAATAATAATAATAATAATAATAATAATAATAATAATAATAATAATAATAATAATAATAATAATAATAATAATAATAATAATAATAATAATAATAATAATAATAATAATAATAATAATAATAATAATAATAATAATAATAATAATAATAATAATAATAATAATAATAATAATAACAATAATAATAATAATAATAATAATAATAATAACAATAATAATAATAATAATAATAATAATAATAACAATAACAATAATAATAATAATAACAATAATAATAATAATAATAACAATAATAATAATAATAACAATAATAATAATAATAATAATAATAATAATAATAATAACAATAATAATAATAACAATAATATAACCTGATATAAGTGTGGTAATAACCAATGTTTACATCAATGATTCACTGAGAAGGTTGAGGCAGCTCAGTTATGACATAAAACAAATCATCCAGCTCTGTAAATGAAACACTTGAGAATGGATCTGGCAGATTAATTGTAGGATTTGCACCGATTTGCTATTCATCAGAGATTATCTCTTGTACTCATCCGTAGCCAGAGATTATCTCTAATGCTTTAAATCTCACAAAAATTATATATAGTCAAATTATGATAATCTAATAATACTCTACTATTCGCCGGAGAATACCGCTAGTACGCTCCCATTCACTAGAGATTATCATTAGTGTTAACCCATTCACTAGAGATTATCATTAGTGTTAAACCATTCACTAGAGATTATCATTAGTGTTAAACCATTCACTAGAGATTATCATTAGTATTTAACCATTCACCAATATTTAATCACCAGTATTAAACCATTCACTATTCATTTGGCATTTTACTCAAGTTCACAAATTTAAGAATCGAAGCACAAGCATTAAAAAAAAAGTTATATAATATTCTCAGGTGAAATCACTTTGCCTATATGAATATATTATATTTGGAAGGGATATGGCACAGACTAAGAGCTGGGATATGAGACAGACTAAGAGCTGGGATATGAGGCAGACTAAGAGCTGGGATATGAGGCAGACTAAGACCTGGGATATGAGACAGACTAAGAGCTGGGATATAAAACAAACTAAGAGCTGGGACATAATGACGGAGTAAACGAGAAGTACTAAACCCCTTGGACCATCGGTGAATCGAACTCTGTCTATACAGAAAACAAAAGAATGGAGGAGGGGTCGAGACAGAATTTTGAAGTGACATGACAATAAAGTTCAGTTAAACTAATATGGCCCTCGTGGGGGCCACCGGAAGTGGACCAACGATGTGGCCCTCCTGAGGGCCACCGTGGGAACAGTAGAGGCAAGTGGTTGGTCAATTACAGCCCCTGGGCCCCCCGCCCCCTGGCCCCCTGGCCCCCTGGCCCCTGGCCCCTGGCCCCTGGCCCCTGGCCCCTGGCCCCCTGGCCCCTGGCCCCTGGCCCCTGGCCCCCTGGCCCCCTGGCCCCCTGGCCCCTGGCCCCCTGGCCCCAGGCCCCTGGCTCCTGGCCCCTGGCCCCTGGCCCCCTGGCCCCCTGGCCCCCAGGCCCCCTGGCCCCTGGCCCCTGGCCCCTGGCCCCTGGCCCCAGGCCCCTGGCCCCTGGCCCCCTGGCCCCAGGCCCCTGACTCCTGGCCCCTGGCCCCTGACCCCTGGCCCCTGGCCCCAGGCCCCTGACCCCTGGCCCCTGGCCACTCACGTCCACCAGTCGCAGTGAAAAAACAGATGGTGTTTATTTCGTGTTAGATGTCGCCCCTGTGAGGTGGGGATGGAAGCAGAGGGGGAGGGGAAGAGAGGAATGATGCAGTAGGGGAGTGCGAGGGGATGTAGGTGGCTAGGGAGAGGAGAGGTGGATAGGTAGGGAGAGGGAGTGTGTCTTGGAGGATGAGTGGGAGAGAGAGGTAGGGGCCAGAGTACATGTAATGTGTGTGGAC